ACGGGCAGAGGCCTCTGCAAGTTCAAAGCATCAGGAGCAGCGCCTTGGGGGAGACAGATGCGTTAGGTGTGGGACTGGCAGCTCAGGGGTCCCCACGCGGCGAGGAGGCTGGCTTCTCCTTGCATATTCCCCGGGACGGGGAGCTCACTCTCTCCCGGAGGAGGAGCCCGGCTGCTTGGGAATTCATTTTCCTGGGCTGGGCCTCTGCCCCTCTGGTCCGTCGCCCCCCAGCACCCCCGGGAAGCTGCGAAAGGGAAACGTGTTGCCATCGCCCTGCTCGTAAGCCTCCCTGACTAAGCCTCCGGTGCCTCGCCGCCGTCTGCAGGAGGAAGTCCCGCCCGCTGCTGACACGTGTGCCCTCACTGCCCAGCCCGGCTCAGGGGCCTCTGCCCCCCGGACGCGCGGCTCTCTTGAACCTCCTGCACACCCCCCATGATGCCCCGGCCCCCCTCGGATTAGCCCAAGCGACACTCACACACTCCCGGGCGCACCCGGAGCGCCCACTGACTCAGACCTGCACCGGATGCGTCCAGAAACCTTGCCCGGGACCCACCCCTGCGGTGGCAGAACGCGGGCTGAGTACCGAGTGAGAGGGCGTCCCAGGCCCAGACTGTCATCCCTACCCCTGGACCCCAGCACCCAAACAGAGGAGACCTGAAACACTGGATCTGCTGGATGAGTGAACAGTTGGGGTGGAAAAGTATGAATGTTTCTTCCGCACGGTATCCTAAAATCCGCAGACCGTCCCCTCCCTCGTCCAGGAAACTCTACCTCCAGCAGCACACTTATCCCAAGCACCGTTAAGATTGAGGACCCCAGGCGCACCTACTCCTCTGACCCCTGTGGGGGGGACGGGGGCTGTGAGTCCAGGGAGGGCGCCCGGCAGGGGCGCGTCCGCGGAGCACCCAAGTTAGTGCTGTGAGCCCCCACTCCAGCCTGCAGCCTCGTTGCACACAAAACACAGCCTGCCCTCCCACTGCGGGTGTCCCGCTCATGGAGACAGGAGGCCGTGGACCGAGTCAAGGTGGGGTCTGGGTCCGAGACCCGGGGTCTACCCTGGACTCGCCAGACAAGCCACCGGGTGTCTCTGAACCTCTGGCCCCTCTTTGGAAGTTGGGAAGATGACCTCTGAGCGTGGCTGCCACTAACGGGACCCTGGATGCACGGCAGGGGCCACCGTGGCCACCACCCCGCGCCCGTCCTCATCCCCCTCCCCCACGCCACCTGCACACGTGTTTAAAAACTAGTTCATAGACACCCAGCCCCCTCTCCGGGCTCTCCTGGAAAAGCTGGCCCACGTTTCGGCAGAGCGCTTGGAGCCGGCCCCCGCCTGGCCCGCCTCGCTCGTGCAAGGTGCCCTCCGGCGTCCTAGAGGCCCCTGATGGGTGGCAACCGTCACCGGCAGGGAGGGGCTCACCCACGCCTGGCCCTGTAGGCTCCCCTTCTCTGGGTCATTTTGCCTGGCCTGACATCCTCCGGCTGCAGACGTGAAGTAGGGGAGAGAGCGCGGGCTCTGGGGTTCATCTGCGAACTTCCCACCATTTCCTGCAAGGGGCCTTTCTTCTTTATTCAAGCCGGAGTGTTTCCTAAGGAACTCCGACGAGCAATGGGAAACACCGGCAGGACTGCGGAGAAGGTGAAAATATCTGGGGAAGGGTTTCGTAGACCAGGGGGACAGCACGTGCAAAGGGCCTGTGGTGTGTTCAGGGAAAGGCAGCCAGGGTGGCTGATGTGTGGGGGCAGGAGAACGTAGGCAGGGGCATCTCCTGCAGAGGCCTGGAGGCCACGAAAGGGTTTGGGTGGGATTCTAAAGGCCGTGGCGGGCCACTGGAAGGTTCTGGTAAAATTTTACATTCCTGACGTGTGGGGCATCTTCTCTGCATCCTCCCCACCGCGTCCTGCCGGGTCTGGGAAAATCCAGCCTTCACGTGAGGAAAGACTCAAGATGGAGGGGCGGGAAGAAGGCGCTGTCCAATGCTCTTTGGGCGGTTCCCCCGTTCCTACGCACTCATTTGTCCTAGAACGTTCCCTCCACGAGTCAGGGAGTTTTCCGGGTCTGTCTGCCCAGGCCAGAGCAGGTGCAGCCGCGGGACCGAGGGGCCGGCTGAGCCCCGCCTGTTCCGGCCTCAC